CTTCATTTTTGAAAGATATTTTCCTTCTTGGTTGGCAGTTTTTCTCTCAGTGCTTCATTTTTTTAAAAAATAAATTTACTTATTTATTTTTGGCTGCACTGGGTCTTCGTTGCTGCATGCGGGCTTTCTCTAGTTGTGGTGAGCGGGGGCTACTCTTCATTGAGGTGCGCGGGCTTCTCATTGCAGTGGCTCCTCTTGTTGCGGAGCATGGGCTCTAGGTGCGCGGACTTCAGTAGTTGTGGCCTGTGGCTCAGTAGTTGTGGCTCGCAGGCTCTAGAGCGCAGGCTCCGTAGTTGTGGCACGGGGGTTTAGTTGCTCTGAGGCATGTGGGATCTTCTTGGACCAGGGCTCGAACCTGTGTCCCCTGCATTGGCAGGCAGATTCTTAACCACTGCACCACCAGGGAAGTCCTCTCTCAGTGCTTTAAAGATGTCTCTCCACTACCTCCTGGTCTGCATCATGGCCAGCAAGATGTCTGCTACCATCCTTATCTTTGTTCCTCTGCACATCATCTGTTTATCCCCTCTGCTCGCTTTCAACATTTTTGTCTTTATCATTGGTTTTTTAGCAATTTGATTATGATGTGCCTTGATGTGGTTTTCTTCATGTTTTCTCTGCTTGGAGTTTGTCGAGCTTCTTTGATTTGTGAGTTTTTAGTTTTCATCAAATTTGGAAATTTTTCAGACATTATTTCTTCAAATATCTTTTCTGTCCTCTCCTCCACCCCACCCTCTCTTTCTGGGACTCCAGTTATATGTATGTAAGGCTGCTTAAAGCTATATCAGCTCACTGATGTTCTGTTCATTTTTTTAACCATTTTTTTTTCTATCTGTGTTTTATTTTGGATTGTTTCTATTGCTATGTTTTCACAGTCAATAATCTTTTCTTATTTACTGTTTAATCTGCTATCAGTCCCATTCGTTGTATTCTTCATCTCTAGAATTTTGATCTGGGCCTCTTTTATATCTTCTACTTCACTCTCATGATGCTCATGTGCTCCTCTACCTTCTTGAACATCTGAAATGTATTAATAGTAGCTGTTTTAATGTCCTTATCTAAAATTAGCAGTATAATTTCTGGATCTGTTTCTATTGGTTGATTTTTCTTCTGCTTGTTTGAACGATAGGTAATTTTTTAATTGGATGCCAGATATTTTGAATCTTATGTTGTTGGGTACTAGTATATTTTTTTTGTTTTAGGATTTTTTCTTTTAGATATTTCGGTAGTTAATATGGGATGCAGTTGTTACTTGGAAACAATTTAATCCTTTTACTGTGTGCTTTTAAGCTTTGTTAGGTGGGTCCAAAACACCTCTTAGATGGGAGCTAATTTGGCTTGGTATCTATGCCCAGTGTGTTGGGAGGTCTTTCTATTCTGGCTGGTGGGAACACCAACTCTTCAACGGTTCTCTCTCTCTCTGTGGTAGCCTGGAAACTCTCTCCAGACAGTGAGCGGGGACATTGGTAGGACTCATCTCATTTCTTTTCATTCTCTCAGGGATCACTGTCCCGTCTGTTATCCAAAGTCTTAAGACCATTGTTTTATATCTTTTGTTCAATTTTATAACTGACTAAGGCAGAGGATAAATCTAGGTCCTGCTACTTCATCATAGCCAAAAGTAGACATTGCTTTTATTCTTTTAAGTGATCCTTTTTATTGAAACATAGCAAACATACATAAAAATGTACAAATCCTAAGTGAATGGCTCCATTAACTTCCACAAAATAAACACACCTGTGTAACCAACTCCCATATTAATAAATAGAACATCACTAGCACCCCAGAAACTTCATGTTCCTTTCCAGTCATTAAATCTCTTCCCAGAATAACCACTGTTCTAATACGTAGCACAACAGTGCATGTTTTTGAACTTTATATAAATGGAATCCTATAGTATGTACTTTATGTCTGGCTTCTTTCACTCAACGTATTTGTCAGATTCATCCATGTTGTTATGTGAAGCAATAATTAATTCATTTCCATTGCTGTGTAACATTCCATTTTATGAATATACCACGTTATTTATTCTACTGTTGATGGGCATTTGAGTTATTTCGAGTTTGGGGGCTATTATGAATAGTGCTGCTATGATCATGTTTGCACATATTTTTTGTGTACATATGTATGTATTTTCAGGAGTAGAACTGCTGCGTCATAAGCTAGGCATCTTTTCTACTTTAGTGGATACCACCAAATAGTTTTCCAAAGTAGTTATCCCAATTTACATTCCTTCTAGGTTTATATGAGAATTCCAGTTGCTCCATATCCTCACCAATACTTGCTATTATGTCTTTTTCTTTTTAGCCATTCTGATGGATTTTACTTACACTGCCTTTCAGAACACGCTACAGACATTATAAAACTACCAGGTGGAATGAGCTAACAGTGCACCAGTCTGAGACTCCTGTATATAAGGTTTTCTTCTCAATGGCTTTGAGCATTCCTAAAAGCATTCGGTTGTTACATTTGTGTTCATCAACATTATTTGAGTGGAATTTGTTTGATGATTCACCAGGTGAAGATATGGTGGGAGGGAAGGCAAACAGGGGCATTCTTGGCAGAGAAAGCAATACATGGAAAGGAAGTCATAAAAGGACCTGGCTCAGGGCTACCTGGTACAATTGTACATGATTCTTAGAATCGCTTCTCACTTCTTTGTCTGTGGGAATGGCACCTCCAGGAATTATGCAGTGCACAACTCATCAATCTGTACACAGCAGCCATGCCTCTAATGGTCAGGGATGATACGAAATTTGCTGTGACTGGAGGGCAGGGTGGGTGGGGTAGAGAATCAGGAGAAGCCAGATCCAGAACTGAGACAGTATAACTGACTCAGATATTGACAGAGGCTTACTTTAAAGCTCCACCCTGCCCCCGCCCCTACTAGATGAAGGATCGTACAAGCTTCCTCGTCTTGGATCCCTCAGCCTCTGAGCCAACAGGGCTGCCACTGAAGTGGGGCCGGGGTGAAACCCAAGCCAGGAAGGAGAAATGCTGAGTGTGCTCCAGCTTGTCTTGCTACATGACTCTGGTCTCAGCAAGTTGAGGAACCAACGCCCTGTCCTTCCTCTATGTTGGGCTTCCTCTCTTGCCTGCAGCCTCAGCACACTCCTGTGCCTGGGAAAATTGGTGACCCTGGATGGGACACTGTGCCCACCTAACTAACACCTAGGTTTGTGTCACTGAGGCACTGGAAGTGGTTTCTGAAGGCACAAGAAAGCGAAAGGAACATCCCAGGTCCCCCACATACCTCCCCATGACCTGCCAGAGTGAAGGGTATCCCTCTGAAAGAATGATACTTTTTGGGTTGACACTCTGTCTATAAGCCCTCATTACACTTTGTGTGTGTGTGTGTGTGTGTGTGTGTGTGTGTGTGTGTGTGGTATGCTTGTTAAGGGCATTAAATGGTTAAAGTAGGGCTACCTGTTGGGTTAAAAGGAACTATCCACCGTCTGTCAGAGAGGGCAGGGTCTCTTCTGGAAGGACAGGTTCATGTTCAAGCTCTGCCTTTCTTCCAGTTACTCGGACAAAAAGTACTTGGACAATATATTCCTTAAAGTAGAAACTGGGACTGATGGAAGGGTTCCAGGGAATGACAGAGAGACTCTCTCTTGGCTCCGGCAAAAAAAGGAGTAGCTCTAGAGCAGTAAGTGGTAAGGTTAGGGAGTTTGGGATTGACATATACACACTGCTATATTTAAAATGGATAACCAACGAGGACCTACTGTATAGCACAGGGAACTTTGCTCAATATTATGTAGTAACCTAAATGGGAAAAGAATTTGAAAAAGAATAGATACATTTATATGTATAACTGAATCACTTTACTGTACAACTGAAATTATCACAACATTGTTAATCAACTCTACTCCAATATAAAATAAGAAGTTTAAAAAATAAAATAAAAATAAATTGAATTAGAAGAATAGCAAAAACTAATGATAATGTTATTAGAAATTAATCAGGCAAAAAAGATGGAACATCCCCAGTAAAGCAGTATAAAAAAAAAAAAGAGGGGCTTCCCTGGTGGCGCAGTGGTTGAGAGTCCGCCTGCCGATGCAGGGGACACGGGTTTGTGCCCCAGTCCGGGAAGATCCCACATGCCGCGGAGCGGCTGGGCTGTGAGCCATGGCCGCTGAGCCTGTGCGTCCGGAGCTCCGCAACGGGAGAGGCCACAACAGTGAGAGGCCCGCGTACCGCAAAAAAAAAAAAAAAAGAAAGAAAAAGAAAGAAAGATGTGGTAAGATGGCACCTCCCCAGAAGGAGGCAAAAGCCAAAGCAAGGAACCTGGGAAAGGTTCCATGGTTGCACCAGAACTCTGGGACTAGAGTGGACATGGTGAGATCAGATGTCAACTGGAGATTTGGCCCTGGGACTAAGTTAACTAGGATATGAATAGATAGATACCTTTCCAACCTAGCTTTTTGGCTTATTTTTCTGCTTCTTCACAAGGTCAACTTTTTTTTTTGGCCACACTGTGTGGCCTGTGGGATCTTAGTTCCCCGACCAGGGATTGAACCCATGCCCCTTGCAGTGGAAGCGTGGAGTCCTAACCACTGGACAGCTAGGGAATTCCCACAAGGTCAACTTTTTTTTTTTTTTTTTTTTTGCGGTACGCGGGCCTCTCACTGTCGTGGCCTCTCCCGTTGCGGAGCACAGGCTCCAGATGCGCAGGCTCAGCGGCCATGGCTCACGGGCCTAGCCGCTCCGCGGCATGTGGGATCTTCCCGGACCGGGGCACGAACCCATGTCCCCTGCATCGGCAGGCGGACTCTCAACCACTGCGCCACCAGGGAAGCCCAAGGTCAACTTTTAAATCAATCAACAGGCGTACACACCCCTGTGGCTTGAGACTTATGAGGAGCAGAGAACAAGAGACACAGTGTCTCCCCTCAAAGAGGCTACTAAGTAATCAGAGAGAGAAGAATAAGGCAGGTGAAACGCCTAAGGAGTAGTACAACTGATATGATTTTGTGTTTCTATTTTAAGCCAAAATGAAAATTAGCATGAACTCCCTGAGCAGACACCAGCTGGGCAACAGTGAGAGCGTGAAGCATCCCAGGAGGCAGGGAGGAGCTGTCCTGATCCTGGGACTCAGAATTGTTTCCAATTCAGCTGTAAGTGTTGATGATCCATGTGTGAACTGTCAGATAGACTGTAATATCCCTAAAAAAATGAATAAACAAGATAATGAAAGGCCATATCTAATTAAATGCTAATCTGTGTGGGCTGAGGGGATCCACATGTACCCAAGAGGTTCCAGCTTCTAGGAAATGTACAATTCTTGCTGGACAGAGCCTGAAGGAAGGGTAGGCTTGGGATAAACAAACAAAGGGCATTCTGGACAGGTGAACAGTGTGAGGAAAAGGCAAAGAAATATTCACCTTCCAAATCACTCCCATTTCCATTGAATTTGAAAGTTTTCAAAGAAACTTAATAGCCCTGCTCTTTTTTTGATCTTCTCAGCAGCCTCAAGCATTTGACAGAACAGAGATTCCCACTCACAAAGAAAGTGAAAACTCGAGAGAGTCTGTTGATTTTGTTTGCTCAGCCTCCCTCTCTCCCATTTTCTGCATCTAGCGTCCTGGTTTTCCTTGGAAAAACATCTCTCTCCACTCTCAGACCAACCAGTGTTCTGACTCCACCCCTGAATCCAGGGTGGGCCTAACCAGACCTGGTCTACTACTGAACTACCACCACAGTAGTTCAGGGATGGGCATGTGACCCAAGTAGGCCAATGAGACTCACATCCAGAACCTTTGCTGGAAAACTGGGGAAGAGAATAAAGCCAATGCAGAGGAAAGCAGAGCCAAGAGACCATTTTCTGTTGACATCGTTTGGGTGTTTGGGTGTGTTTGGGTGTTTAGATCCAGCCGTGCCTGAAGCCAGCATTATCCTAGGGTTTTTCTGAGAGGTGAGCCATTACATTCCCTTCTTGTTCTAAGCCAGTTTGAATCTTATTTCTGTTACTTGCTACTAACAGAGTCCTGGCTGATTCAGAAAGCTTAGACCATGTATTTAAATTCTGATCCTGTGCTCTTAAACTAAGTATAATAACTGGAGTGATGGTAGTGTGGGAAAGGATTATTAAGCATGGTGGGGTCAACCTGGTAAGGCCTGACTAAAAGACATGCTAGGAAGTTAGACAGGAATAGGGAGCCTCAGAAGGTTCTTGAGAGAATTATCATATGATATTGCTTATATGTGGAATCTAAAAAAATGATACAAATGAACTTATTTATGAAACAGAAATAGAGTCACAGATGTAGAAAACAAACTTATGGTTACCAGCAGGGAAGGAGGTTGCGGAGGGATAAATTGGGAGACGGGGATTGACATACACACACTACTATATATAAAATAGATAACTAATAAAGACCTACTGTATAGCACAGGGAACTCTACTCAATACTCTATGATGGGCTATGTGGGAAAAGAATCTAAAAAAGAGTGGATATATGTATATGTATAAGTGATTCACTTTGCTGTGAAACTAACACAACGTTGTAAATCAACTCTTCTCCAATAATTTTTTTTTAATTCTACAAAAAAAAAAGATTCTTGAACAATTTAAAAGAGACATTTAAAGAAAATACCGGTACAGTCAGTGTTCTGTTTCTTAACATGGGGAATGGTTATAGCCCACATACGTTGACTCTAAATTATGCATGTATGTTTTTTACTCTCTTCTGAATAAAAACATGATATAATGTGTACCTTTGAAAAATGAAAAAGAAAATAAATAATGTGGAGGTGATGATTACGGAATGGAATGGAGAAGAGAGACCTTGAAATCAGAGATGCAGGAAGGAAGCTGGTAGTGAGATGGAGGAGTAGGGTAAGGAAGGATGGCATAGAGCAGTAGGAATACGGATGGAGAGGGGTGGAGAAGTGAGAGATGCTTCCTGCATGAATGAGGGCATGAGAAATATATAGCTCCAAATACTGGTAATGATGACAGAGACAGGGTAGTTGAGAGGGAAGGACCTGGTTGGGAATATTAAGGGGGCGTGTATGTGGTTACATTTTGAACTTGTTCAGGTGAGAACATCCAAACTGTGGGTCTGGGGACTTGCCTGGCGGTCCAGCGGTTAAGACTCTGCGCTTCCACTGCAGGGGGCACAGGTTCGATTCCTGGTTGGGGAACTAAGATCCCACATGCCATGAGGTGAGGCCAGAAAAAAGGAGACAAACTGTGGGTTTGTAATATCATTTGGTTGGAAGGAACAGAAGCTTCGTTGAGTTAGCTCAAGTGGGGAACTGGGAAGTCAAAAATGCAGGCTCCTCCCTCTGTATCTCTGGGGCACATGTGGTCTTTCCTCTGCTCTTCTCTGCATCTGCCGACCAGGTCCTTCTGCTTCCTCGGAGGGAGGGCCCACCTGGCAGAAGCTGGAGTGCCCTGCGAACCCCACAGGGAGGCAAGGCCACTGTGAAAGAAGCTGAGTGAAGGCACCAATGGAAATTCTGTCAAATATGTCTGGAAGTGACCAACTGGGTGACGAACAGTTCCTGATGTGGACAAGGTGTAAGGTCTGTGTTCAAGGAAAGCCACAGAAAAGAGAGCTTGGTTTTAGCCTGGGAAAGGGAAGCAGCAAGGTTAAGATCTGATGTGTCCAAGGATGCTAGAAGACCTTGCGGCCAGTAACATTCTCTACCGGACTCTTCCTTTCAGCTCAAACAGACTCTCCCATCCCCAGCCCACCTCCAGCTCCCCTACACCTCCCTTCCTTCGGTTCAAACTCCTTAAAAGCTGCCCATGCTCCCTGGCTCACCTCCTCCGCACTCCTCCACCCTCGGCACCATGCCTGCCCTGTTGGCTCTCCTTAGAAGTGTGCTAGCAAGGTGTCCGAGGGCTTTCTGGTCGCCATATCCAGACGACAGATACTCCCCAGCTCTAATCTTGTTTCATTCATTTGTTGTTCATTCATTCATTGATTCAAAGAATATTTGGTAAGAGCCGCTACTTTCCCTGTGCTGGAGGTACGATACTGAGCAAGATCCATTAGGCAGAAGTTCTCTACAGAGACAGTGTCTACTTCTTCCTCCCAAAATGCCACATGCTCACATATGCACCCATGCACACGCACGCGCACGCAGGCACACGCACTTGCTTTTTCTGCTTACATCCTCCCCAGAGCTTCCCACTAGGGACTCAGCTGCCAGGCATGTGATCTTTGAGGGACACAGACAAATGAGAAGGAAGTTAGGCCAGTAGCCTAAGGAAGCTGGGGAGGAAGAGGGGCCAGACGGCCTGGAGGGGCACCCCAGGATGTACACATCATCACCTGGCCATTTGCTAGTGGCCTGGGGAGTGTGTAACTCTGAATGGCAGGCACCCAGTGGAGAAGGGCACATGGCCAGGATCTCAGGTTCTGGCCACTTCAGGCAGTTCTCGAAGCAAGACCCTTCCCAGAGGGCCAGGGAGGCACCCAAGGGACTGGTTGCAGCCTTTGGGGAGACAAGCAGTCTGGGCACATGCCCGCTACATCATACTCCTTCACTGAATCCTGGCCTTGCTCCTGGAGCGTGCAACTCCTAGAACTGTCCCCATGAGGAAGGGAGTCTCTGGGCGGGACCCTGAGTCCTGGGCTGAACACTGGCACCCTATAAAGTCGAAGAGCCAGCCCGTCAGGGAACCCCAAGGGTTCTGGTGATGGAAGGTCCCAAAATGTTCCTTTCTTTCTCTTCCTAGGGAATTATATAAAGTAAATGAAGAATAAAGAGGAGAAGGAGAAAGAAGATGGGGGAGGGAGAAAAGGAGTAGGAAAGGAAGGAGGAGGTGGAGAAGGAAAGCATTTTTTTTTAAAGCACAGCCCTGGGCTTCCCTGGTGGCGCAGTGGTTGAGAGTCCACCTGCCGATGCTGGGGACACGGGTTCGTGCCCCGGTCCGGGAAGATCCCACATGCTGCGGAGCGGCTGGGCCCGTGAGCCATGGCCGCTGAGCCTGCACGTCCAGAGCCTGTGCTCCGGAACAGGAGAGACCACAACAGTGAGAGGCCCGCGTACCGCAAATAAAAAAAAAAAGCACAGCCCTGATCATAGTATTTCTCTGCTTAAAATATTTTAATAACTTCACATTGCTCATTGGATAACCACATCCCCCCTCCCTCTTCTCCCCCTCCCTCCTCACCCCTTCCAGTCATAGGAGGCCTGAGAGGATGTGTTCACACAGCTCTTTTGGGAAATTGCCCCATGGGGTTGCAACAAGTGAAACAGAGGGAGCACAACAACGGGCCCATCATAAGGAGCATTGAGAACTACAAGGAGGAGGGTTAAGGGGAATTTCCTGGCGGTCCAGTGGTTAGGACTCTGCGCTTTCACTGCCAAGGGTATGGGTTCAATCCCTGGTCGGGGAGCTAAGATCCTCCAAACTGAGTGGCCAAATAATTAATTAATTAATTATGTTTTTTAAAAAAGGGGTTTTAGTCCTAGGTCTGTGACTATAGGACCAAGGGAAAATCATGGTCCAAGCCTCCTTTTCTTTACCTGGTCAGTGGTCAGGGAGGATAAAACCTGCCCTGCCTGCCTCACTGGGTTACTGGGAGGCTCAGGTGAGATAAAGAGCCTAGAAACCTTTGTGAATTATCAAGTACTGAACAAATAAGGGATTGTTCCTACTATTGAGGAAACTACCTTGAGAAGTGTCAGAGGCCCACTCCTTTCATCTCTAGTGCTTTTCTTTCTAATAATCCTTCATGTCATTATAAGACCTTACGCTTTTCAAAGTACTTTAATATATATTGTGTCATTCGTTCTGACACCATCCCTGTGCAGCGGCCAGGCAGGGCTGCCCCTTGCTGGGCATATAAGGGCAGAGGCTCAGAGGGGTGAAGTCACCAGAAGGTCCGGTGTCACCGGGCAGGCATGATGTGGCCGAGCCAGGCCCGAGCTCAGGTTTCCTGACCTCAGCGTGGGGCCTGCTCTGCTCCCAGCACATACTGATGTTGTTTCTTTAGATTCTAAACCTACAGAGGGTACAGGCAGGGTCTTCTTAGGGGATGAACTTCCCCATGGCAGGCATCACGGCCTTTGGGTGGGGCTATATCAGGGGACACTTGAGCTTTTGCCAGTGAGACAGGCTTGGTCTTTGAAGATCTACTCGCCCTGGGCCCCTGGGAATTTGCCCAGGCTCCTTTGTCACTCCTCTGTGTCAGTGGTCAGCCAACCACCAGAACAGAGGTGGGTCTTTTGGATCATTTTGGAATCCTTCCTCCAGGTGTGATTCTAACCACAAAGTGTGCTGATGCCTAGTGCCACACAAACATCATTCTCACAACCGGGGAGTGTCAGCCCTGTCCAGCCTCTGGGGTAGGGTGAGCACAGAAACACAGGCCTGCTCCCTGACCGGGAGTTGCTCACAGCTGGAGAAACAGCAGTGCACGGGAAATAATGGCAAAGAGGACGGCGTGAGCACCCTCTCAAGGGGGCGACACGATGACCCTCCTGGATAAAAGACAGTATGAGCACAGAAAGACAGAGACCTCTGGGGACTGGGAGGCTCCGAGGCAGCTTCCGGACTGGGGACACCCGGTCCCCCTCCCCTAAGTCGGTCTCCAGTCAAACTGAAACATTCTTGCTGTTCGTGAACCACACCAGGAAAGTGCCTCTGCAACATTCCAGGATGCGAAAGCCAGGCCCTCGGTCTGACTGCTGATTGGTGGTGTGTGAGTCAGGGGAAAGGGCACTAGACGGCAGTCTCGAGATGCAGGACTCTGCGCCTTGACCTACACCAGAGCCGGAGGAGGCAAAGAGATTCGGGTGTTTTTCCTGTCAAGGTCAAATGCCCGGGTGGCCCCAGTTTGGCCTCAACTCAGGTGTCCCGAGTTTCTGTTGTAGGAGCCTCCCCTCAAGTCGGTGATGATGGCGAGCATTCCAGAGGGAAGGCGGCAGGCAGTGGGAGATACGATCTGAAATTCAAGAAGGAGAGCAAAGCTAGAACGATAGCGCACCAGGTGGGCAATACCTCCCACCCCACCACAACCTCCACTTCCTTTCCCTGAGTCCCCGAGGGGCTGAATGAGACAGAGAAGAGTGATGGGAGTTGTTCCCACAACATTTATGATAGTTAAAAAAAAAAAAATCAGAGACATCCTAACTGTTCAATACGGAGAGTGACCTGAAATAAATCATAAACTTAAGTAGCCATCCAAAACAATAAAGCTTTTAGAAAATAATATAGAATGTCTTTGTGACCTTGGGGTAGAGGAAGAGTTTTTAAGTAAAATGCATAAAGTGCTAATCAAAGAAAAAAATTGATAAATGTGTCTGTCTATGTGAAAATTAAGCAATCCTGGTTATAAAATGGTACCACCAAAAGAATGAAATGGGGACTTCCCTGGTGCTGCAGTGGTTAAGAATCCGCCTGCTGTGAAGGGGACACGGGTTTGATCCCTGGTCTGGGAAGATCCCACGGAACAACTAGTTGCCACGGAACAACTAAGCCTGCGAGTCACAACTACTGAAGCCTGTGCACACTAGAGCCCACGTGCCATGACTACTGAGCCCGCGTGCTGCAATTACCGAAGCCCACGAGCCTAGAGCTTGTGCTCTGCAACAAGAGAAGCCCACGCGCAACAACGAAGAGTAGCCCCCCGCTCGCAGCAACAAAGACCTAACACAGCCAAAAATAAATTTTAAAATAAAAAAAGAATGAAATGGCAAGCCACAGAGAAAATGCTTGCAATGCATGGAAGCCATAAAAGGCTCAAAGCCAAAATATAAAAGAACTCTTATAAAGCAGTAAGAAAAAAGTGACCCAGTAGAAAAATGACCAAGAGACTTGAAGGGGCAATTCACAAAATAAGACACAGAAGTGCCGTGTCATAAGCATGTGAACCGGTGTTCAACTCTATTTGTTGTCAGGGAAGTCCAAACCAAAACCACGCTGAGATACCAAATGTCTAAAACTAAGAATGCCGATATTAAGTGTTGGTTCTGATGTGAAGCCACTGGAACCCTCATACACTGCTGGCAGTGCATACTGTTATTCCCACTTTGGAAAACAGTTTGACGTTATCAGCTGAAGTTGAAGATATGCATTCCCTGTGACCCAGCAATCACACCCCTGGGTGTATGTGCAACAGAAATGTGTCCACTGTGTATAGGAGACGTGAGCAAGAATGCTCATAGCTGCACACCTTGTAATAACCCCAAACTGGAAACAACCTAAGTATCCATCAGGAGACAATGATAGGTCGTATATTCACATGACAAAATATTATATAGTAGTAATGGATGAACAACAGCCAGACACAACAACGTGGATGAATCTCTCAAATAAACGAAACAGGAGAAAAGCCAGACACGAAAGAATACACTCAGGTAAAGCTCAAGAAAGGACAAAACAAAACCACAATCTTTAGATGGTAAAAGAAAAAACAAGAAGCAAGCAAATGATTACCATGGAAGTCAGGAGACAGGTTACCTTAGAGAGGAAGGAGGGAATTGTGACCACAGAGGGTCCTGCAGGGGACTCCTGGGATGCTGTCAATGTTCTGGTTTTGGCCTGGGTGGTGGGTACCCGGCTGTTTTATGAGAATTCTTTAAGTGGTATATTTATGTAATGCAACTTTCTGAGTGTGTGGTTTATTCAACTGAACTATGTGAAATTGACAATATTCAACCCTTTTTAACTTAATAGTTAAACCTACTGGCAATTTCATATGGTTCAACCTAATATTTCATAATTAAAAATAACTTAAGTTAAGTAGCCATTCAAAATGATGGTCATGAAGGCTATTAATAACTTCATTCACTCATTTACGCATCAAACAGATATTTCCTGGGGGCTTGTTGTGAACCAGGCATATTTCTAGGCACCGGGATACAGAATAAAATTTGGTCCTGGTGCTCACATTCTAATGGGAAGATAACGTATAAACAGATACTGAAACATCGGGAATGTCATGTTGTGATAAATGCTATGAAGAAAAACAAAGCAGAATAAGGATATAGAGAGGGATGAAGAGAGATTTTAGGAAGCATGGTTAGAAAGGCTTCTCTGAGGAGATGACATCTGAAAATGCAGCTGAATAACGTGAGAGAGAGAAACCATGTGTAGCCATGGGAGAAAAAGCCTGTGGCAGAGGAAGGAGCAAGTGCACAGGCCCTATGACTGGAATGTGCACGGCAGGATTAAGGAACAAGGAGACCAGTGTTACTAGTTCAGAGTGAGGGAGGGGGAGACGATGAAGACACGAAACGGGAGAAGTAACGAGGGACCCATCACAGAAGGCCAATGCAGCTTTGCAAGGGACTTCAGATTTTACTCTGAGAGTGATGAGAGGCTATTGGAAGGTTGAGAGCAGGAAGTGGTAGGATTTGATATATAGTTTAGAAGGAAGACTCTGGCTGTTTCGTGGAGGAGGGAGTCTAGGCGGGGTGGAATTACAGATTCCTGTTAAAATGCTACCACAGTGTCCAGGCAAGAGATGAAGGTGGCATGGACTAGAATGGCCATTTTGGAGACAGAATCAATAGATTTTGCAGATAGAACCCAGATAGGATTTTTTTGATGGATGGCATATAGGGGAAGAGGAAGAGGCATCAATAATAAGTATAATATTTTTCTTAAAAATAGGATGCGCAATTCTATATTTGATCAAAACTCTTCAAAACATGTTCTTAAATTACTTCTATGATGAGAAACTTAAATACAGCAGAGCCTAAGAAATGCAGTTGGGGAGATGGGATATTTTCATAGATGGATGGATAACACCATAAAAAAAGCAGAAGCTAATTGCCACAGGAGGTAAGGAAAGGAAGAGACCCCAGAGGCCTGGAGGAGGCAGGAAAGTCTTTACTGAGGAGGCTGGAGTTGAAAGAAGAAGGTGGAGTTAGTCCAGGTGAGAAGCAGACTGAGAGCTGCGCCTGGGGGCCCAGTACAGGGTGGTAGAAAGAGCAGGAGCTTTGGAGTTAGAGAAATTAGGCTCAAGTTCAAGTATTGCCACTTACCACTTGGGTTAGTGTAAAGGTTAGATAAAACAACTGTAACTCACCTATTAGGTGCTCAATACAGGGTAGCTTCTAAGGAAAGCTCTTTTTTAATATTCAGATTTAAAAATTTTTCAGATTTTTCTATTTTTTATTTTGGGGGTTGGGAGTGGGGAGTTAACTCCCCATTCACTAGAAATTACAGCAGAGACAGGAGAAAATAAGCTGGGAAAAGAGGAGCTATTAGTAATCTAGACTTGGACATAGCTGGGAACCCTTGAGTGAGATACTCTCACACTGATTGAGAGCCCAGAAACTTCCTGTTCATCTAGGGATGGTGTCACATAGTCATATCTCCCTCTGCTGGTAGAATTTGGTGTTGCAAGGTAAACCCAAATCTTGAATTGCTTGCATCTGGAAATTTGCAGGCCCCTGGGAATATTGAAGCGCTAACTCTGCGTTCTTGGTATGGTCTCACCCAGACTGTTACTGAGACCATACTGGAAGAAGATGCTGGATGGGAATCCCCCGGGAAAAAAGAACTTTCATTGTCAAAGGAAATGAAGCAAAGGGAGCTTCTTCCTCCTACCAAGCCAACGATGGGTATGGACTCTTAGGAAACTGTCATTCAAACCAGGACTGAGCAGCAACTGTTCTGCCATCTTCACGGTAAGCTGTCCCCATGGCATAGGGGAAAGACCCCCAGGGTTTCAGTTTTGGAGTCTGAAGACTGACTATGCCACTTGGTGACTGGGTTTCCTTCCTTGGTCACTTAATTAGCCTAAAGCTTACAGTCCTCACAATATGGGGATATTAATATTTTCCCCTTTCCTGGGGTTGATGTGAGGATAAAGTAATAGAGATGATCATACTCTATTAACTGTAAATCACTCTACAAATATAAGAGTTTATTACTGTCACTTCTTTGTCTTGCCTCTCCAGTTTCTTGCCCTGAAGGTCTTACCTAAAGTATACAGAGTTCTGTGCTAGATATGGGGAAAGGAGACACAAAGACAAAAATCACAGCTCCTGTCTTCAGGGGGGCACACATATGGTGAGGGAGACAGATTCAGTTAACCACATTACTAGTCAGACTATGAGTACTATAAGACTAGTTAAACAACGAGCTATAGAATCATGAGGAAAGGAAAGATTAATTAGAAAGTAGAATCAGGGGAGTCAAAGAAGGTTTCCCAGAAGAGGTGATATTCATATGAAGCACAAATTCATATTCATTCATTCATATTTATTTTGTTTATTCATAAAAATATTTATTGAGCATATCTATGTGCCAGGAATTAGACTACAGATGGTCCCCAACTTATGATGGCTCAAATAATGACTTTTTGACTTTACAATGGTGAGAAAACGATACGTATTCAATAGAAACAATGCTTCAAATTTTGAAGTTTGATCTTTTCCTGGGCTAGTGACATGCAGTATGATATTCTCTCCTGGCTGGGCAGTGGCAGTGGCAGTGAGCCACAGTTCCCAGTCAGCTACGCGATCATGATGGTAAACAACTGATACACTTACGACCATTCTGTACCCACACAACCTTTCTGTTTTGCACTTTCAGTACAGTATTCAATAAATTCCATGAGATATGCAACACCTTATTATAAAATAGGCTTTGTGTTAGATGATCTTGCCCAATTGTAGGCTAATGTAAGTGTGCCGAGCATGTTTTAAGGTAGGCTAAGCCATGGTGTCCGGTAGGTTATGTGTATTAACTGCATTTTTGACTTAAGATATTTTCAATTTACGGTGGGTTTATCGGGATGTAACCCCATCATAAGTCAAGGAAGATCTGTAGTAATTGTGGATACAAAAATGAATGAAACAGACATGTATTGTCTTCACAGAACAACAGAACAGGTAGACGAATAATTATTTAATTACAATTATGCTAAGTTCTATAAAAGAAATACAGGTGGGGAAGTCAAGAAAGGTACCGTAAGGAAGTGACATTCAAGCTGAGAGCTGAAGGATGAAGATCAGGTATCTAGGCAAAGATGGTGAGGATAAATGTTCTATGCAGCAGAAACAGAATGTGTAAAGGCCCTGTGGTAGGAGATGGAAAGGAGGTGAAGAAGGCCATTGGAACTAGAATACAGGGAGCAAGGAGGAAAGTGGCCTGAGATGAGACAGGAGATATTGGGTAGGTACCAGGTCATGTGGGGCCTTGGGGGCTGCATTAATGATTTGGACTTTAAGAGCAACGAGAAACATTGAAAGTTTTAAAGCAAAGGGTGACATGATCAGACATGTGTTTTTAAAAGAATACTTTGTAGAGAATGGATGGGTGGAGGTAAGAGTAGACCTAGGGAGACCAGATTGGAGGCTATAGTGGGAGGCCAGGCTAGAGAAGATGATGGCTTGGATTATGATATTGGCTGTGGAAATGGAGAAGTTGATAGATCTGAGAAATATTTACGAAGTTGAATTGATAGGATTTGGCATTTGAATAGATATGTTGAGGTTGGGGGAAGAGCTGTTTACAGAGCTAGGGACCATTCTTGGAGCAGCAAGTTTGGAGGGGAGGACGATGAGTTTGGTGTTAACAAGTAGAATTTCAGGTACTTGGGAGCTATCCAAGTGGCTATATCAATTAGAGAATTGAATATATAGAACTGGAGCACAGAGAAGTCTGGACTGGAAACACAAATTTAGGAATCATTTAGATACTAAGTGAAGCCATAAACTGTAGTGATCACTAGAGGGTGGCACTGGAAGAAAAAGAAGACTTAGGACCATTCAACAGTTAGAGTTGAAAGAAGTCAGTTGGTTAAGGATTGCTGAAAAGGGAGACACAGGATGTGAACAACCTTAAATGCAAAGGACAAAAGGAAGGAAAACTACTATTTCTTGAATGTCTTTTATGTTCTGGGAGTTTTCACATGCATTATCTTACTTAATCCTCATGTAAACACTGTGAGCCAGGTAAGCATTCCTATCCTCACTTTTTCTACTGAGGAAATAGCTGTTCAGAGAAGTTGAATAATCTAGTTACTGTCACACATCTTGTAATCAATGGGATTCCCTCCCGTGCTGGAGGATCTGGGCAAGTGCCTTGCCAGGTAGTGACATTGGGTGGGGAGCGTAGGGCCAGAATCCCTTTTACCCAGCACTATAGTGCCAAGCAGGTAAGCCAAAGCAGAGGAAGGGTAGTCCAAAAAGCAAAGCCAAGTGCAACAGGAAAACAGTTCAAGAGCCAAATGGTCCATTCAGAAGTCAGGTTGCCGGAGCCAAAACCTCACCCAGTAACTGGTCCAAAAATCAAGTGAATCACAAGCAGTAGAACTTGATCAAAGAGAAGGCTAAGGAAGGCCAGTAAACTTCAGAACTGGGGAAGCCACCAGCTAAGCCTCAAGCTTCCAGTTGAGCTGGCATTTGGGTCCTGGGTATTCGAAGATGGGGAAGAGGTGAGGAGACAGGTTTTGTAGAGTTGAAGAACTAAACAAATAGGCCCTCGAGAGAATAACCTGACTGGGAATGTTTTGTGGAAAGATTCTTCTGGCGCCTCTGTGAAGAAGGGCCTCAAGGTGGGAGAATATGGACACCTCGGATGCAATGCATAGACTCAACTCCCCTCTGCAGAGTGGAGCATGGGTAGGACGCTGGCTTGGTCCCTGGGCTTGAGGAATTATACTTGATTTGTATCCTAGAGGAAAAAATATGAAGACCCCAAAGTGGAACACCAAACACAGGCCTGGTCTGTCCAGGATTCTCAAGGAAGCAGGAGCTGTCAGGTAAGCCAAGCCAGGACACATGCATGTGTTAAGGGCTTGCTTAAAAATGAGTCTTCTCATTGGTACAGAACTTCAGGAGGATCAATGGTTTCATTTGAGCCTCAAAACCACTTTAAAACTAATTGTTTTAAATAGATGAGGAAACTAAGGCTAGGGCAAGGTAAGTGACTGCCCAGAGTCACACAGTTGGATGGAGATTAGAACTGCAACTTGAGTCCAAGTTTTGTTTTATGCAAATTCTGTGTCTCTCTCTGTTAAGGAAAAGAGATTGTTCAGGGAAGGCTTCACAGAAGAGGAGGTGCTTGAACTGCCCACGCGGCAGGGCACCAAGTACAGAAGAGTAACAGGGTCCTCCTGGCAAAGTCACAAAGATGCAACACAGCACAGCCAGAAGGAAACGAAAAATGGTTCCTAGAATTGTGAGGTCCTTGAGGACAGGAAGGTCCAGCTCCTAGAATAAGGCCTGAGGTTTAGCAGGTGCTGGGTGACTGTTTGAAGGAATGAATGTGTGGAACACAGAGTCTCTCTAGGAGAGTAGCTGGAAGTGAGGCTGGGAAGTGGCAGGAGTCAGAAGACGGAGAGGTTTTATACAATATGGAAGGCTGGTGTTGGAGGAGGGGAGGGGACGAGGGTGCATGTGCGGAGAGGATGTGAGGAGAGAATCAGCTGGAAGCTGGTTCCAGGAGAGAGAAAAGGAAGGCCAGAAGTAAACCAAGGTAGGGAGAGGAAAGGACAGAGTCGAGAAACATTTAGGAGTTAGAATGCCTGGCAACACCCTTAAGGGGAGGGGTGACATGTACGAGTCTGCCGGCAGAAAGGCAGGAGCAGAAGAGAGACAGGGGATGCTGGTTGTGGAGGAAACAGGTGTGGGTAGCGGATACCCCGCATCCCCCCCAGCTAGGCTGCAACCTCAACAGTCACTCCTGGGGCAGAACGCCAGAGAGGGAGGGGCCTACCGGACTGGAGAAGTCATTAGCAACCTGCCAGAACCGGGTTAACAAAGGCAGGACTACAACTCCCAGCATGCTCCGGCCCAGTGGGGTGACGGCGGGCGGTGGCTGCGCTGCACCCGTCTGGTGCGCACAGGACCTGGGTCGGCACCGGAGCCTGTCATTCCGGAGGGGTCTGTGGGGGTGCGAGCGGGCATGCACCCGGGTCCCCAGCGCACTGGCGGCGCAGGGCTCGCGATTCCCGCCCCACGGCCCCGCCCCTTGCCCCACCCCAGCCGGGCGGCTTAGCTGGGGCCGCAGCGCGGCGGCAACATCACTCTCGCTGCCGCTGCTCCGCCCCATCGCCTTCTGTTTTTCTCTCTCATTCTCCGGTGGCGACGGCGGGGAAGGAGGAGGCAGGGGCAGCAGCAGCCGCGCTGGCTGCAATGAATGATCCCCCAGCTGGGGGAGAGGACTCCAGGTGAGCCTCTGCCCTCGGGAGGGCCGGGACCCCCGGTCGCCCAGGACCTGCAGCCCCCCCGCCATGGATCCCTAGAGGAGGAGGAGGACAAGGAGAAGACAGCTCTGCCGCCCACCCCCATCCCATTTTCCTCTTCCTTTATCTCATTGTTGCTGTAGCTGTTTACGGCAGGGCTCCCGCTGCCCCAGCATGGGGCGGGCTCCGGGTACTGCCATTCGGCCGGCGCTTCTCCCGCTGCTGCCCGGCGATTCTGCCTAATTCTCCCTCCGCAGCTGGTGCAGCGAGGACCGGAGAGCGGTGGAGGCCCGGACTGCAGCAGCGACGGGGCCACCTCCCAGCATCCCCACCCTAGGAGTCTACAGGCGGATTGAAGAACGGCGCCTGGGGGCTGGGCCGGCCCCGCCGATACGGACCTAGGGAGGACAGCAGGACAGCCTAGGCTGCGGAGAGGGGTGGGGGTGGGGGGGTCAGGAAGGACAGAGCAGCAAGATGGCCAGTAAAACCAAGGCCAGTGAGGCCCTGAGGGTGGTGGCCCGGTGCCGCCCCCTCAGCCGGAAGGAGGAGGCTTCTGGTCACGAGCAGATCCTGACCATGGACGTGAAACTGGGCCAGGTGACACTGCGAAACCCCCGCGCTGCCCTAGGGGAGCTGCCCAAGACCTTCACCTTTGATGCCGTGTATGATGCCAGCTCCAAGCAGGCAGACTTGTATGATGAAACCGTGAGGCCCCTGGTAGACTCGGTGCTTCAAGGTTTCAATGGCACCGTGTTTGCCTATGGACAGACCGGCACGGGCAAGACCTACACCATGCAGGGGACCTGGGTGGAGCCCGAGCAGCGCGGGGTCATCCCCAATGCCTTTGAGCATATCTTCACCCACATCTCGCGCTCCCAGAACCAGCAGTACTTGGTCCGGGCCTCCTACCTGGAGATCTACCAGGAGGAGATTCGGGACCTGCTCTCCAAGGAGCCTGGCAAGAGGCTAGAGCTGAAGGAGAACCCTGAGACAGGCGTCTACATCAAGGACCTGTCCTCCTTCGTCACCAAGAATGTCAAGGAGATTGAGCACGTGATGAACCTGGGGAACCAGACCCGGGCGGTGGGTAGTACACACATGAATGAGGTCAGCTCCCGCTCCCATGCCATCTTTGTCATCACCGTGGAGTGCAGTGAGCGTGGCTTGGATGGCCAGGACCACATCCGTGTGGGCAAGCTCAACCTCGTGGACCTGGCTGGAAGTGAGAGGCAGAACAAGGCAGGCCCCAATGCGGCTGGAGGGACGGCCACGCAGCCCACGGGTGGTGGCGGTGGTGGAGGTGGTGGTGGTAGTGGAGAGAGGCCTAAGGAAGCCTCCAAAATCAATCTCTCGCTGTCTGCCCTGGGCAACGTGATCGCTGCTCTGGCGGGCAACAGGAGCACCCATATCCCCTACCGGGACTCCAAGCTGACCCGGCTGCTCCAGGACTCTCTGGGGGGGAATGCCAAGACCATCATGGTGGCCACCCTGGGTCCAGCCTCTCACAGCTACGATGAGAGCCTCTCCACCCTGCGCTTTGCCAACCGGGCCAAGAACATCAAGAACAAGCCCCGGGTGAACGAGGACCCCAAGGACACGCTGCTGCGGGAATTCCAGGAGGAGATCGCCCGCCTAAAGGCCCAGCTGGAGAAGAAGGGGATGCTGGGAAAGCGGCTCCGGAGGAAGAGCAGCCGCAGGAAGAAGGCCGTGTCAGCCCCGGCTGGGTACCCTGAGGGGCCGCTGATGGAGGCCTGGGTGGCCGAAGAGGAGGATGACAACAACAACTACCGCCCGCCCCAGCCCACCCTGGAGTCGGCCTTGGACAAGAACATGGAGAATTACCTGCAGGAGCAGAAGGAGCAGCTGGAGGAGGAGAAGGCGGCCATCCAGGATGACCGCAGCCTGGTGAGCGAGGAGAAGCAGAAGCTGCTGGAGGAGAAGGAGAAGATGCTGGAAGACCTGCGGCGGGAGCAGCAGGCCACAGAGCTGCTCGCAGCCAAGTACAAGGTAAGAGCCCCCGAGGGAGCAGGGGCTCTCCAGAGGTCCCCAGAGGGATCTGGGCTGGCAGGCTTTTCTTTGAGGGTCTGTGACCTGGCTGGAAGCAAAGTGTCCTGCCCTCCTGCCAAGAGCTCCCCTGGAGAAGGCAGGCGAATTTCTGCGACTCTGGACTGCCAGGCAGAGCCTCCCTGGAGCACCTAGGAGGACACACACACACGCACGCACACATACATACACGCGCGCGCACACACACAGAGCAAAGCAGCAGGCAGTCTCTCAAGCCAGTGAGCTTGGACTGGTCTGACCTGCTGCCTGTCAGTCTCTTCTGGTGGCCCCCAGTACCGGTCAGGTCCATGGACAGCCAGGCGGGCACTCAGCCCCGTCTGGGTGTGGGTTCTCACTCTTGCCTGGCCACCTCCCTCATGACGTCCTCCCTTTGCAGCACCATCAAACCTCACACCATTTTAATATCTGACGTTTGGACACTTCACAGTTTACAAAATGCCCCACATACATGATCTCATTTGATTCTTACGGTAGCCATCCGGAGTCCTGCTTCTTAAACCCCCATTTTACAGGTGAGGGACTAAGGCTCAGAAGAGTGACATGACTGAGGTTCCATCCTATACAGTGGCAGGGCTGAGCTGGAACCAGTGGCCCTTGGGCTCTTTTAGTTCTTGGATGGCGAGGCAGGATTATACATGGGTCCTGCTCCCTGTGAAAGTGGTCCAGTGGTCCCCTGGGCCCATTGCATAGAATCTTAGGAAGGAGATCACGCAGAAGGTTGGAAAGAGCACTGGGGTCTACGCTGGAGACCTGGCATCTTGGCCTAGCTCTGCTACAGCTCATTGAGTGACCTTGTGTATGTTGCTTCTTCCCTTCCTCAAGCCTCAGTTTCCCTTTTTGTAAAACAGAGCGTTGGCCTGGGTGATCTCTGAGGTTCTTCTGATCTGAAAAACAAACCAACTGGCCCCCACACCCAGGCCTCATTCTAGTAAGTTCCAATTCCCCATTGCCCTGAGAGATATCAGGGCCTCGGCGTCCTTCCTGAGCTGCTCCCTTCCCTGGGGAAGCCTCCAGGCCCCGTTGGAACTAAGCTGCAGAGGCCCCCTGCCTGGCCAACCACAGACCTGTTAAGTTTCAATGCTGCAGATGCCATGACTCAATGTTCCAGGCATTTCCAGGTCCCTGGAGTCCTTAACACTGAAGGTTGGAGGAAGAACGCAAGGAACCGTGAGCTGATGACTTGCTGGGGGGAGAAAAACATTACCAGTTCTTAGTCCCTCTCAGGAGTGTGGGCTGGGGTGCAGGGAAGCCCTGCCTGGGAGGGAGAGTGGCAACGGCTGGAAGAGGGACAGATGAGCTGCAGGCCATTGTCTGTGTTATGGGAATGTGCTGCTACACCAGGGGCTCTGGCCTTGCTTATTTCGTATTTAATTCACCTCCAGGAGCTCAGCAAGGGTTATGCTGAGCCGCTTCCTCAAAGGGATTGGTACATTTGGGGTCCTCCTGGGAGAAGCAGGATGTTAAAGGCAGGACAGTTAGACTCAGCTCTCCCAGGAGGAAGGGGATCCAGGCAGTCTAGTGCTTCCCACCAGGAAATCTTACATGGGCAATCTGTCACCAGTTTCATAACCAAGAGTCCCACCACCACCCCTTACTCCCTTCCCCACCCACCCTTAAAGCTGGGGGTCAACGGAGGCTAAGAGAGTGCACTTCAGCCCTGAGCAAATGGGTAGAAGGGATGAAGCGAAGGATCCAATGGGATCTCCCATTGTTGGCCACTCCCTGGTTCCCTCAGTAAGGTTCTTGGATCTAAGGCAATGTGGTGCATGGATAATGGGACTGTCAAGAGATCAGGGCGGCCAGAGCCAGAATTCTTGTACCAGAGGCATAGCCCACAGAACCCCCCCATCTTACAGCTGCCAGGGGCCTTGGAAAACTGAGGCCCAGACTTGCCCAGGGCCACACAGGTGAGTTAAGGAGAGCCAGGCTCTTTGTACTTGCTCCGGCTTCTTTCCATTACACCAACGTCCTGATGTTGTTACCTGTGCTACTTGATAATCAGAGTAATTCATTTTTATGTAACTCTTTTATGTTTTAATCTCATGGAATCCTCCCAGCAACCTCAAGAGATGAGTATTACTATCTCCATTTGACAGTGATGAAAACCAAGGCTGGCGACTGTCTCCGTGACATGGGCTAATAGGCAGGCGGAGCCAGGACTGGAACCCAGGTCTTCTGATGGCCCCAGACCTGTGCTCTTTCCAAGTCTCCACGGATTCCTCCACATTTGATCTCTGTGTGACTCGGGGCAGAGGCCTTTGCCCCTCTAGGCCTCAGGTTTCCGTTGGCCTGATGAGGGGAAGTCTGACACAGCTTCCTAGGGACTGGGTGCAATGGTCATTATGTGCCAGGCTCTCAGATATAAGTGAAGGGGGAGGGTTGCCTGGTAAATTCCAGGGGGGGAATGATTCCACAGTCTGTGACTTCTTGTCACACCCAGCCCTGGACGAACAGCAGGCAGCGAGCCCTGAGTGGAGCCTGTGTAGAGGACCCCGACCTCCCTATAGTCCTTAAGGGACTGCTGGTTCAGTGTCGGATGTTTCTAGGATAGAGGAAGCAATTTGAGGGCTCTTGAGGGATCCACTGGGTAATGAGGGGAGGAGCGTGTGAGAGATAATCCCAGGCCTGCCCATTTCACAGGGTTGTGCTGAAGATTAAATGAGATCATTAGTGTGAGGGCATTTGAAATATGTTGAAAGCACTACATCAGTGGAGGGCATTAGCAGCCACTGGGTGGCTTCCGTCTGCCAAGCAGGGGTCCAGTGATCTCTAGGACTGACATCTCTGTCATTGGCTTAACGCTTTCCTTCCCCTGCCATCCCGGCTGCCTTGCCATAGCCCTGCAGCCCTGGAACAGTGCCAGGCGAGAAAGATCTGGGAGCCCTCCGAAGGCGGGAGCTCCGGTCCCTCCTGGAAATTAGCTGAGCTTCTGCTCCCCATCTGCAACACACGCCGGCTCCCACTTTCTGAGTTTCCACAACTCCCCTTGTCGCCTCCCTCATTCCCTTCTTCCAGTTCACACCACCCCTAGGGGCAGCTGAGCGGTAGCTGATGCGACCCAGTGCCCTCATTCACTCTCTCTGACTCATCTGACAGTCTGTCTCGCCTGTTTTCCCTGCCCGCCACCTCTAGGCTCCCCGTTCCCTTTGTTCTCCCCTCACTGTGTACAAACACCATGCCTGTCTCCTTGGAGTCTCCCTTCATATTTACCTCGAGCCTCAGGGGATGGGAGGGTGTGCAAGTGTCTGAGGGTTTGTGATTGTCATTAGTGCCCTGTTTATCAGTAGTCATTAGCCATCCATACTTACCTCGTGTCTCTGGGAGGGGGGGCTTGATAGCATACTAGACCTGAGAGGTAGGGAGAGTTGGTAAAGTCACAGGCAGACCCACAGCTGAGGTTATGCCTCTGCACGATGGCGACTCCAGTGTTTGTGCACAAGGCACGTACGGCAGTGAGGACTGGGATGCCCGTAGCTTGGTCTGGAGAAGGCCCACTTTAATTGTGCAAGGAACACTTTTTTTTTTTTGCGGTACGCGGGCCTCTCACTGTTGTGGCCTCTCCCGTTGCGGAGCACAGGCTCCGGACGCGCAGGCTCAGCGGCCATGGCTCACGGGCCCAGCCGCTCCGTGGCATGTGGGATCTTCCTGGACCGGGACACGAACCCGTGTCCCCTGCCTCGGCAGGCGGACTCTCAACCACTGCGCCACCAGGGAAGCCCCGGAACATTTTTTAATGACTGTTTTCATTTTGAGCTTAAGTTTCTGAGGGCTCGGGCTAGAGGATTTCTAAAGCGTTGATTCTAGATCTTTAGAGGGAAAGAAGAGTATGTGTGTAGGGGAGGCAAGGGCTGCAGATGAGACACTATGCAGGCTGGAACTGACGGGGGCACTGGAAGAGGTAGAAACAACAGCACTGCTTGTTGATCCCCAAGTAAGTAGGTCTGGAGGGAGGGGGCGGGGTGCTGCTTGGCTAGAGCCCAACTCTCTCTGTGGTGGGTATGGGAAAGAGACCCTGCAGAAGCTGCCCCCAAAGCCAGAGGGATGAGGTCACTACAGACAGTACAGACCGCACTGAGTTTTTACTGTCTATTTGTGGGCCCCTCTTCTTCCTCCCATTTCTCAGCATTGGCATTAACCATAAACAGTTATGCAAGAGGTGTTTCAAGCCCGAGAAACAGCAATAATTGCAAGAATAATGCCATTTACTTAACAGTTGCCACGAGCCAAGCCTTATACCATATATGGTATACAAATTATCTCATGTAATCCCTACAAGCACCTTCCACGAAAGGTGTTATTACTGTTCCCATTTTATACATGAGAAAACTGAGGATTTATGACTTGCCCAAGGCCTTATGGTTTGTATATGGCAAATCTAGTTGAGCCCAGGTTGGTTTGACACAAACTTGGATCCTCTTTTATGCTTAAAGAATCAGGAACATTGGGCTGGGAACTGGTTGCTGGGGAGGTGGTGAAAAATGACAGGAGCTGGTGTGAACGTGTTGAGTTGAAGGTGACAAGAGTCCCGTAGGCAGCAGGAGGTGGAGCAGGGGAGTTTAGAAGCAAGCACAGGACTGGAAGTGGAGTTTGGGGGCTCATCTGTAGAAGAGGGCTCAAATGAGCCCCCTGGCCCTCTGTTCTGGACGCTCTCTCCCTTTATGTAAGTGACTCCTGTCCAGGTCTTTGCTGACCTTTTTTTGTAGAGTGCTGTTTTCGGAGCATGGATATCAGAGTCAGGCAGGCCTGGGTTTAGTGATTTACTAGTTCTGAGACCTCGGTTTCCTCATCTATAAAATGGGATAGTAACAGTACCTATGTCATAGTTCTATTGAGAGGATGATAATCGACATTAAAGCACTTTGCATAGTTCCTGGCATGTAAGTGTTCGTAAATAATAACTTTATTACTGTTATCTTCGACTGCTTAATGGATGTTTTCACTTG